CTGCGCCCTGGGGTCACTCCCTGGCCGGGGATCAAACTCATGCTGCAGCGGCTGCTTCGTAGTGCTGCGCTGTAACCCTTTGCGCCGCCAGGGAGGGCTCTCCATTGGGTGTTCTAAAGACAACACCTCTGTGTGCATCATAGACAACAGCGTGGTGTCTGCCCGCCTGGCGTCTGTGCGCTGGGGACCTGGCGAGCAGTGCCTCGCGTCGCGCCCTCCTGCCCACTGCAGGGGCTCCGAGCCGGGCCGAGGCGGGGAAAGAAAACTGTTAGCCAGTGAAGCACTGTCTTGTGAACTGTTGTTTATGACTTACTGAGTTGAGTATCTTCTCTTTTCCAGCCATCAAAAATCAGGATTAATTTAGAAGATAACGTGCAGTATGTTTCCATGAGAAGTGAGTTGACTCCTGAGTGGGGCTCGGGGTTCGGCTCTTGGGATTCCAAGTCTGGTTTGAAACAGTAGAAGCCGCAGCCGGGGATCAGCCTGGCAGTGTCCGGCAACATTGCCACCTTTCAGCCATCCCTCACTTTGCACTTTAAAGGAAACAAAGATGCGTACAGAAATTTATCTGGGGAGATTCACTGAAGAATTGTGTGAAATGATAAAACTGGCGCTGGTCTGAATTTCCAGGGCGGCGTCTGCCTGACACGCCCCGTAATGTCGTTCCTTGAGAGTGATGTTGAAGTACGTCGGTCAGCGAGTCAGGATGGTGCAGCATGAGTTACTGAGGCGCCACGGCCCGGTTTTGTTCAAGACACTACATGTGTTGACATGGACGCAGGGGCGGGGCAGGGTGTTCATGGGAAGTCAGGACCCTCCTCGTGGGGGTGGGTGAGGGCCTGCGCGTTCCCCCTTCATCCGCATCCCCGTGAGATAGAACAGGAAGGAATAAATGTTTCCATAGGTTGAGAGGAAATGATTAAACTTTTACTACTGTTTTGTGTCCCAGACGCGCTGAAAGTAAGGAGGCCTCGCTTTGACGTGTCGCTCGTTTACTTAACGCGGAAGTTTATGGACCTGGTCAGATCCGCTCCGGGGGGGATCCTCGACTTGAACAAGGTGGCGACGAAGCTGGGCGTGCGCAAGCGGCGAGTGTATGACATCACCAACGTCCTGGACGGGATCGACCTGGTGGAGAAAAAGTCCAAGAACCACATTAGATGGATGTGAGTTGGGTTGGACGGTGACGCTGCTCTCCACTAAGTGGCGGCTCGTGCTCACAGCAGAGCAAGTGTCCGCAGTGGTGGACAGGGGAAGGCAGGCGTGACTTGCTGCTAGTAAAGGATTCATAAATTTTTTTGCATTGTCCTGAAAGATACATCACCCTTAGGGCTAAGTGTGAGCCGCAGGCTTAGAGCCTCATTTTGACAGTGTGGAGAGTTACACGCAGCAGCGGTCGCTGGTGAAGTGTTTTGCTTTTCAAGATACTAAGGAGGGTATATTTGATTGTCTAGACTTTTGTTTGTTTAAGATTTATTTATGCATACAGGAACTGGGGTGCAGGCCAGAGGTGTGGGAGAGAGGGTGAGAGGATTCACCAGAGAAGGTGGGGAGCAGAACAGGCAGATCCACTGCTGAGGGGAATGTTGGGGAGTCAGGAGAGGTCTGTGGCGCCCTGGGGGCCACTCCCTGGCCTGATGGACTCAGGCTGCAGTGGCTGGCAGTAGCTTCGTAGTGCTGAGACTAACCCTGCGCCCCCAGGGAGGCCCAGTGTAGATGTTCCTCAAGTAGTTTCTTCTGTTCCAGTTGGTTACCGTTAGCGGGG